ATCTTTCATTGCAAAAAAATACTTTAAACTTTGTGCCATCCTCGGGCAAAAGCAACATAGATTATAAAATAGCAAAGTGAATTACGAAACAGCAATGTGAATTACAAAATAGCAACATAGATTATGAAATAGCAATGTGGAGGCCGAAAAGCAAGGCTCATGTTTTTTGAAAAAAAAAATTTAATCAACTTTTCCAAAGCGTCAAGATTTTTTATGGCTGCTGATACATAATTTTTATCTTTCAAAGTTTCGTAGTTTTCCTATGTTTCCTTCTTTTCACGAAAGACATGCCACGGATATTCTTAGTCAGAAGAAATTCAGCTCTGATTCAATTATAATTAAAGGGCATCAATGCATAATACATAAAACAACTCCAATGAAATACGTCTTTGTTCTACAATTACCAGATATGAAATTGGGATGAATATAAACTTTTTTATTTTTTTTAAATACGGGTATTCAACCCAACAGATTATCTCACGAGTGTGGAACACGTTAATTGTTTTCTACCAATAAAAAGGTTCATGTATTTAGGTACATCCCTAAAAAAAATTTCATCGATTTTAAATTCGTCAAGAATTACAGAAAATAGAGAATTCCAAATTTTATCCATCTACATTTTAATATAACAATACTATAAATAAAATATCCAAAGTAATTGAAAGTGCAAAAGTTAAATTCTTAAGCGGAGTTATCCAAGAAATATAAACTATTAGTTTCTTTGATGGAAAATTAGAACTTTATAAATTACACATAGAACCAATTTTGTGCTCACATTTGATAAGATGCCCCACAAGAAACTTGTTACAGAAATAAAATATGTGGGTGTGAGGGAAATGTTATTAAATTGGCTGGAGAGTAGAATGCAGAGAGTAGTAATAAATGGAGTTAGATCTGACTGGATCACAGTTACAAGCAGTGTGCCTCAAGGCTTTGTGCTGGGTTCTCTGCTGTTTGTGATTAATATTAATGATATTGACTTTGGAATGACTAACAAGATATTGAAGTTTGCAGATGACATTAAGATTTTTGGGTTGGCTAACTGTATCAAAGATGCTGCAGAATTACGGGGAGATTTAGATCATTTGATGCATTGGGCCAATACATGGCAGATGATGTTTAATTATCCAAAATGTAAGGTGATGCATGTAGGTTTTCACAATTCAAATTACTGTTACAATTTAAATGGGAATACATTAAATATCATGGTTGTAGAAAAAGATCTTGGTGTTGTAATTGAAAAATCACTTAAGTTCATCTAAGCAGTGTATTGTAGCTAGCAATAGGGCTAATAGGATTTTGGGTAGTATCTATAGAAATATTGAATACAAAACAAGGGATATTATTGTTTCACTGTATAGATCACTAGTAAGGCCTCATTTAGAGTACTTTTCACAGTTTAAGGCTCCCTTTCCTCAAGAAAGACATTGAATTGTTTGAGAAGGTTCATAGAAAAGCCACTAGGATGACACCTGGGGTCGTGGGATTGTCCTATGAGGATAAACTAAAATCTCTAAACTGGTTTTCTCTGTAGAGGAGAAGGGTAAGAGTGATTTGATTGAGGTGTTTAAGATTATTAATGGTATTGATAATATAGACCCATCAAACTTTTTGTGTTTAGCAGTGAAAACAACAGGACAAGTGGGGCATAAGTTCAAATTTTGGTTGCGTAAGAGTCGTCTGCAATTTAGATAGTATTACTTTTCAAAGAGGGTGGTTGACTTTTGAAATGAGCTGTCTTCAAGAGTGGGGGAGCCAGAAAATTCAACTGAGCTTAAGAAAATATTTGATGAATACACGAGTAGTAAGGGGTGGTTACAGTTGGGAGCTGGAAGAGACATCCTTGATGGGCTAATAAGCTCCTTTTTTTTCTTTAAAATTTTATGAATTTGTGAACTTGTAAATCTAAATCCTATTAGATAAACGTTGTTAGTTGAAAAAAAAAAGCTGGTCAGCTATATACAGAAAAAAATGTGCATCTCTAACCAAGAAAAAAAAAAGGATTTGTGTGACCCAATGTTTATTCCTTATGTTTTACCTAATCCTGTTAAAAATATACCAAGACACCATTTATCACAAACCCAACTACATGTATTAAGTATGGGTTTTAATTTTGCTGTTTCTCTGAACCAAGTGAACTCTGACGAAATTGTTTGAGAAATAGAAGCAGGCATTCGTAAGTTAGATGGCATTACTCATTATAGTGTTGGATGAGGAGCATATAATAAATTGAAAAAGAGTTGTACAGCAGAAAAAAATAATTTCAAAACTGAATATGATGATCAGAAATCTATACTAGAAAATGAAGATCTTGTCGTAACAAAAGCAGACAAAGATAGTAAATTTGTTATTCTCGAAACAAAATATATATATAAGGAAGAAGCACATATGTTACTGTCTGATGGTACATACACAAAGTTAAAAAGTGACCCTACAACAAAAATCACACACAAAATAAAAGCTGAAATAAAGAAAATTAAATGTTTGTCTGTAGAAAATAAACAAAAGATCCTGCTTACCAATATTATTTTCTCAAGCTTTTATTGTGTAACCAAATTGCATAAGAAAGGGACACCGTCTGGACCTATCGTTGCAGCAATAACGGTCCAACTTACTTTTTAGCCCAATACTTAACCAGAAGACTGTCATTTCTGTAAGACTCAAGTACACTAAGAACTCCAAGGATTTTGTTTCAAAGATGAAAAATAAACCTCAACGGCAATGACAAATACATGGTATCATTTGATATAAAAAGTTTGTTCACGAAAGTTCCAATAATGGGGGCTCTAGATGTTCTGTTATGAAAAGTTTGTTCACGAAAGTTCCAATAATGGAGGCTCTAGATGTTCTGTTATGAAAAGTTTGTTCACGAAAGTTCCAATAATGGGGGCTCTAGATGTTCTGTTATGAAAAGTTTGTTCACGAAAGTTCCAATAATGGGGGCTCTAGATGTTCTGTTATGAAAAGTTTGTTCACGAAAGTTCCAATAATGGGGCTCTAGATGTTCTATCACAACAACTTGACCAGACATTTACATCAAGCTGAAAAAGAAGAAATCGTTACCTTGCTAAAATTATGTCTCAGCTCCTACTTACAGAATCAAGAACTCAGCATGAGAAATCCTTTATCGCTTCTTCTCTGCGACATGGATGACTTCGAAAACAAACTGATCAAAACTGATCAAAAAATAAAACTCAAATATATTTTTCGAAAGAAACAAAGTAAATGCGGAAATGAAATCAGAATCTTTCTATCGAACCTCGGATTTTAGCGTTATAAATTATAAACTTACCGCTGAAACACTGGGATTCGATAGATTACTGTAACGTTTTTTATGGGTTTTCACAGTTTTTATATTAAAATTAAATGGTTATTATGAGTAATAATAACAATAAATAATTTTAACATATGTGACTCACTAACAAATTTAGCGATGACATACCAAAGAGGAGTTGTAAGTCAAATATTATTATTGTATTAGTAGCTCACAATTTAATTAATTAGTTTTGTTTGTTCAGTTGTAATTATTACCTCAACGTTATAAACTGATAAAGTGAACAATCTTAAAAAAACAAAATTAAAAGAAAAAAGGATTTACCACAGCAAACTTTGCATTAACCGTAAAAAATAAAACTCAAATATATTTTTCGAAAGAAACAAAGTAAATGCGGAAATGAAATCAGAATCTTTCTATATGAATGACAAATGTAAATGTATGTTTGGTAAACTTCATAACATATACACAATTTCACTTTGTGGTTTTTGGTATTTTCAACCTGAACACAGGTCTTTATACGGTCATAAGCTAAACAGTCAGTCAAATATCTCAAGGTTTAGGCATACAACTATTTCTCATGTTGAACTGCTGATCAAAGGGGAGAAAACCAGTTAACAACACCCACCGCCTAAATCTACTAACCTTAGCCTAATAGCGGGGTCGACTGTTACTGTTTTAATGATCCAAAGCTGAAAGTGGCGTTTTCAGCGTTGGTCGAACCATCAATCTTCTGATCTCTCAGCTAGGCATGCTAACCATTAGGCCACACCCGGTCCACTTCACTCTCGTTGGAATTGAAATACTTACACTCTGTGCTTATTGTTTCAGAATTTTGCGCCAAACTACACAAGACCTATTTGCTAATAGCTGCCCTTATTTTGAACCGATAGGCTAGTAGGAAGATAACTGGTCAACAGCAAACTCCGACAACTATTCAGCTACTCTCGTCTGACTGAATAGTGGGATTCAAATGCCACTTTTATAGCGTATGTAAGCTAATATGAAGATAACTGGTCAACAGCAAACTCCGACAACTATTCAGCTACTCTCGTCTGACTGAATAGTGGGATTCAAATGTCACTTTTATAGCGTATATAGGCTAGTATGAAGATAGCTAGTCAACAGCAAACTCCGACAACTATTCAGCTACTCTCGTCTGACTGAATAGTGGGATTCAAATGTCACTTTTATAGCGTATATAGGCTAGTATGAAGATTTGTTTGTTTTTGAATTTCGCGCAAAGCTACATGAGGGCTAACTGCGCTATCCGTCCCTAATTGAGTAGTGTAAGACTAGAGGGAAGGCAGCTAGTCATCACCACCCACCGCCAACTTTTGGGCTACTCTTTTACCAACGAATAGTTAGATTGACCGTCACATTATAACGCCCCCACGCCTGAAAGGTGTTTGGTGTGATGGGGATTCGAACCCGCGACCCTCAGATTACGAGTCGAGCGCCCTAACCACCTGGCCATGCCGGGCCTAGTATGAAGATAGCTAGTCAACAGCAAACTCCGACAGCTCTTAAGCTACTCTTGCCTGATTCAATAGTGGGATTCAAATGTCCCTTTTATAGCGTATCAAATATTTTTCGGTATCGTTTCGCGAACCATAAAACTTTGGATTAACGGTTTGGACATCTTGTCACTAGGCCACGCCCGGCCTACTCTTTGAGCGTGCAAATGAGATTACCATTGATTCTATTATCAAATTATTGAACTTACATGCTGATTTAGAGGAAAACTTGTCTCGTTGTGCAGCACAGACAGCTAATAATCGGTACCCCAGATCAAGATCGAACCCCTGCTGGGCAGCTACCCTGTTGACTACCTGAAAAAAAAAAAACTATTGAAATTCAAAAATCATTTCCCGTTTATATTTTTCATATAAAATATACTACAAAAAGTGCCATTATAACACATAAAATATACTACAAAAAGTGCCATTATAACACATAAAATATATTACTAAAGTGCCATTATAACACAAGATATTTCTAAATACAATATCCTAAAAAAAAAAAATGTTTGTTTTAACGCAATGCCACATTGGACTATCTGCAGGGTTTACACCACGGGGAACCGAACCTTGGATTGTAGCGTTGTAAGTCTGTAAACTTACTGCTGTCCCACCGGAGGACCGTAAAAAAAAATAACATTCTTTTCGGGGCAAATCAACTTAGAAAACAATATCAAAGATAAATATTAAACTACGAGAAAACGATTTTTTGACTATCAAGATTTGAAATCCAATTCCAATAGTTTTTAAAATGAAGTTAATTAAACGTTCTAAAATTACTCTGAACGTTTTAACACGGTTGCTGACAAGTCAAGTATTTTATTGAAAGTGTCTTTAAAAAATAAGTTGAAGCCTTCAGAAAGTATTAATATTAATTAATTAAGTATTGATTAACAGAAATATGATGATACAAGGAATACAGATTCGTTAAAAGCTAAGAACAACGTGTTCTAAGTATCTTAAGAACTTAATGCCATATACAGTACGGATTCATTACTTGATGACGTGTTATTTGTTGACACTTTGATTATGGGGAATAATGTTGACTTATAGTCACTTTGAGCGTGGGAAAACATCCTTATTTTGACTATGCATTAGTTTGTTGTTTAGGACTTTTCGCGCAAATCTACATAAAAAAAGCTATCTACGAATAGTCGTCCATAATTTGGAACTTATAAACTCAAGAGAGAGACGGAAGACACGTAAACAACAGAACCCGCCGCTAACTCTTGGACTACTTTTGTCTGACAGATTGGTGGGATTTGACCGTCACTCTTATAATTCTCTCACAGCCACAAAGTGCGGAGCGCAATTTTGAGGCAGCGGGCCATGAATCAGGAACTTTCGGATGAACAATTCAAGCACGCTAACAGCCAGGTCACACCCAGCCCTCGACCATGTTATTGACATCGAATTAGCAACCAAATAATGAATGTCTTTTAACGTATTTATTTCATATCCTTCTTGAAGTTGGATTCCAAATAAATCACATTTGTTTTACGCTACCACAAATAAACAGCATAAACAGCAAATGAATGTGAACAGTATTTAATTTTGTTGTTGTTTTTTCTTTCTTGGGAAGGGTGGGGGTGATTTTGGTTTTTTATTAGTTTTAAAACAAAGCCACATTGGACTATCAGCTGTGTACATCACGGGGAATCAAAACCCGGATTTCAGCATTGTAAATCCGTAAGCTTACCGCTGTAGGATGGATTTTGGAGGGGAGCGAGCCCGTTATTAAAAATTCTGCAGTTAACTTATCGTCGCAGTTCTTTTCTAGCTGAATCTTTCCATAGTACAGGACTTACCAATAATAAATGTCCGGAATGGCCAGGTGGTTAGGGCGTTATAATGTGACGGTTAATCGCACTATTCGTTGGTAAAAGAGTAGTTCAAGAATTGGTGGTGGATGGTGATGACTAGCTGCCTTCCCTCTAGTCTTTCACTGTTAAATTAAGGACGACTAGCGCAGATAGCCCTCATGTAGCTTTGCGTGAAATTCAAACTAATAATACCACTTTCATAGTACATGACTTACTAATAATAACACTTACATAGTACACGACTTACTAATAATACCACTTACATAGTACACGACTTACTAATAATACCACTTACATAGTACACGACTTACTAATAATAACACTTACATCTGACTCTGCTCTTAATCAGAAGTTATTTAAAATGGAAGAGAAAACGTTATAACCGCCCTACAACAGAATAACTTTGAACAACAGAATTTCATTACCTCTACTGGAGTCGGCCTATACTTACTAACGACTATTTCAAGACTGACACAAAACTAACAAAGGTTGAATTACGCGCAAAGCCACACAAGGGCTATCTGT